GTGTGTGTGTGTGAACTGATATAAAAGGAAAAGGAGGAGATCCCCCAGGTCTTTAACATGGTGCAGGAAATAATGACACTGGAGATAGTTGCCTTTGATTTGATGGTTTTATTAGCTCGAGGCATATGGGCTGACACATTAAGTCAGAGAGCCATAGGGTGTCAATATTACAAGTTCCCTGAGTGGTTCCCTAATGGAAACTGAAATCCTACAGAAGAAGTGACTTCTCAAGGCCACAGAGGAAGATGGTGACAAGCTAGATTCTAGGTTTTCTGGCTTCAATCTGCCACTCCTCCACCATACCATTTTCTGTCCATTAGTGCATTCATAGGGGTCAATTCAACAGCTCACTTTCCAGCCTAGCAAATAAGAAGAAATAGCAGGTCCAGGCCAGGTTGGCTCTGATGTAGGAGGCAGCAGGAGGGAGGAGAGCACAGCTTAGGAAGGGCCATGCAGGGCTCTGAGCTTTGAGGCCAAGGGAGTAGGGACAGCATAGGGTAGGGTGTGGGAGAGTAGGCATCACAAGGGACAAAAACAGGGCTGGGAAAAGGCAATGAGAGGGTGCAAGGACACACTCCATCTGGTCTCTTCCTTTAGTTCTGGATGGATCGGGGATATTTAGGAATGGGATATTTTTTTCTTAAAGTAGCAAAAATACTGTCCTAGAAGTTAAGAAGATCTACTACCTGATTTTATGATCTTGGATAAGTCATGTGTTCTCCCTGAGCCTCAGTTTCCTCATCTGTAGTAATGATCACACTGACGGGAGATGAGACACTGTGAAAACTTTTACATATGTTATAATCCTCACAGCAACTCTTCAGGGGCCTCTCCCTTTTCCAGATGAGAAAATTTAGATTCTGAGACAGCAGGAACTTGTCCAAGCATATGTAGYAGACAGTGGCAGAGCTTGGGTTTCAACTGAGGTTAGTCAGGGCTCCGTCCCATGGTTCATTTTCCTGGGCCCCTAATCATCTATTGAGCAAAARGCAGAATCAATTAAGTAATTATGCTAAATCTCCGAGCCTTGGTTAATTCATCTACTCTCTCTGAACATTGTATATATCTCTTGAACAACTCTAGCCAGTTGAAATCTTGATGTTTACTCTGTACAAAGTTCATAGATCTTCACCAGAATTAAATAGGACCAGATAAATGGCACCCTGGTCTTTGAGAAATAATAAAGACTTTGTCTTTTAGAGATACACCATTCATTCACCAAATCCAAGCTCTCCCTAGAGCCATAGGGTGCCGAAGAGCTCATTCTTTTTCCTACAATGCAATTACTTAATTACTAATAGGAATGTTGCGATGAAATTTGGCTCCTAGATTCAAAAGTATTCTCAGTTGTCCTAGGCAATGGAATGATTGACATTCTCTAAAGATGACAGCCATGTTGGATGGTCCCAAATACTTGAGTCTTTACTGCTAGGAGAGCTTCCTCATATCCATTTTAGGGATCTAGTTTAATCCTATATCCACATGCCATCCTCATATGTAAAAATAAAAATTTTCATGAAGAAATTCAGCTTAGAAACATATTCCTTTTTTCTGGATTTTTTTTTGTGGTAGATATTTCTAAATGCATTACTGGGTCTTTCTGGCTTCACATTGGGTCTTACTAACACATATGATCATCATCCTTCTGTCCTGGTTTTGCTGTGAATTTTGAATTTTCCCTAAATAACTGCTCCAGAAACTCTCAAAGTTACCTAATTAGTGATTACACTTTGCAAATCAAGAAGAGCATTTCCCAGCTAGTTGACTCAGTCAGTTAGAGCAGGTTGCTAATAATTAGGCCACAGCTACAGGTCTGGGCTGCGCGTGAGCCAGTTAGTAAGTGCAGACAGCGCACAAAGGTGAAGATAAGGCTGTGCTCCCAAGAAGGACCAGGCGAGGATGCAGATGTCCAAGAGACATCCATCCCTACTAAAAGGGGGAAAAAAATGCTACTCAGTCATAATATCACGTTGCAATGATTGGAAATAAAAAGAAAGGGAAGGAGGAAGGTTGAGAGAAATGGAGCAGGAGGGATAGAAAGGAAAAAGAGAGGAAGGGAGGGAAGGAGGAAAGCCAACAAATAATCCTAGACAAGTTCATGGAGATAAATAATAAAGGAGGACTCGCAGAAGGAGCGGCACCTGAAGCATGGCACGACCCCTGATCAGGGCTCTTATTCCTAGCAGGCCGTGACGCAGCTCCGTCTTTACCTGCTGGGTGGATCTCGCACTGCTGATGCACTGCTTTAATTTGGGAAGCCTTTCTCTTGAGAGGCATGTCTTTTCTTGCTCTAAGTCTAAAGTGCTCCCATGTGTGGCATTCTCGGTGACAGATGTACTACAGTTATGCTTTAGCTGACTCCAAAGCCATAGCTTCCCAGTGCCTGAGTGGTCTATTTGATGTCCAAGAGTGTGTTTCCTCTGAGAGCAGGTCTTTGCTGGAATATCATCCAAGAAGGTAGGAAGGTATAATCCCTTTGTTCTAAAGCAGCCCCTGTTAAATTCTGCAATCCCTGCCCACCCAAAGGCTATTCTCTCAGAAGGTCTAAAGTGCAACTGCTGAGGTGCATCGAAGCCCTTAGAAAGCCTGTGGGAAAGTGCTAAGATCTGAGAGTCCTCTCCCCTCTCTACCCACCACCCCCCTAAGGTTATTCCATTTTCATGGATGACCCCACTTCCACGTGACCCTCTGTAAGGACAAGGATTTCAAAAATACTTGAACACCTCCAAGGACACAAGAGCCTCTTTCCAGCCTCCCATCCATAGCTCTCCTTTTTATAGGAGTGTTGGAGTCGCGATGACGGGATGGATCTAGGACATGACTGGTGGGGCCAGCCAATTCTCTATGTATCCATCTGTGATTATTTTGCACGTCTTGTCGATGGTGAAGCACTGTCATTTTTCTCTGAATTCTAATCTTCCCACCATCCAAGCCCATTCTTGAAGGAAGGCAGAAATGTAGCCACGGGCCATTCTGTCGGAACTTGTGCCACTTGTCCTCTAGCAGGAGTTGCAGCTCCCCCTGCCAGCACTGATGTCTGCTGAAGGAGGCCTTGTCCACTCTGTCTCGCATCCAAGGCGAAGAAATTTACTCCATCTACCAGTCTGAGTTCTCTCTGGGCGTCCTGGGTAGATCAGAAAAGGCTTGAGTCTTAGCGAAAAGACTTTTCCCCTTAGGCCTTAAAGTAGCTCTGAAGTTAAAAGTATAGAAAGCTCACTGCTATATAAAGTTGACTTCTTAAATTAAAGGATATCTTCCATTTTGGACTTAATACTTGCTTTTTTAGTATTTTCACTTGAGATAACAGTCTAATTATTCCACGGTCTGGTACCTGAGGGAATAAAAAGAGAATTTGAAGTTTTGTTTGTAATTGCTTATATTTTCTTACTGTGCCTTTATTGTAAGTATAACTCTTGGCTTACTTTTCTCTYGGATAGTTTCCTGCCTTGTATTTATAAATTACTTTCAGTGACATGTATTTAGTAAAGACAAACTGTGAGCTGCTTAGGAGGCTGAGGCAGGAGGATTGTGAGTTCAAAGCCAGCCTCAACAACTTAACATGGCCCAAAGCAACTTAACAAGAATCTATCTCTACGTAAAATATTTTTTAAAGGGCTGGGGATGTGACTCAGGGCTCTGTGATTAAATGTCCCTGGGTTCAGTCCTCAGTACAAAAAAAAAAAAAAAAGACAAACTATGAACAATCTAACATACCAATATCACCACAGAGCTGTGGCATAATTATTACTAATAAATTAACTGGGACTAAAAGTCTTCAAAATACAGAGAGCAATATGATCCTACAATTTGATAAAGACAGGCTGATACATCTAAAAACATGGACATATTGAAGGCAATCGATTCCTGGCATCCCAAAGCAAGAAGAAAGCATCATCACAGTAAATACTTAATTTCCTGACAAGAGCTCAGGGCCTGAAACATCTATATCCTCCCTTTTCTCCCAAGCCTGCCAATGGAACATTTAGACCATGGAATTTTTCTAGTGCAACAGGTTTTGATAATTGAAATGAAATGGTTTTGTAATGGGTAACAAATTTTTCTTTCCTTGTTTTTTTTTTCTATTGGAAATGATATTATATATGGCTATTGTCATCAAATCTCTTCTGATTTAATTTTTAAAATAGAATTTATTGTTTACTTAATATAGAAAATATTAAGAAGAAAAATTTGCCATTTCATTCTTAAAAGACCCCACTCAACAACATTTATAAATAAAAGTCGTGTATTTCCACGACTTAAATTTTCATTTTCAACACAGATAGGAACAAAATCGAAAGCAAATGCTTCCTTGGTTTCATCTGTTATGAGATTTCTGATTCTAATCTACCCGTGGACAGCCCCAGATATGTCCCTAAAAAGGCTCTAGACCGTAAATAAAAGAACCCTTGTCAAGAGAAACATAGATAACACACAACATGATGCTTCTTGTAAAAGAAATCTCCTCTAGGTATTAAGAGAAGAAGATATCAGAAGAACTCTAAAATGCTAAAAAAAAATGATATTTGTTAGAAAGTCAAAAACAGCTCTTAATGGGAATATTTGAAATTATGCTGAGGATTGCACAGAAAGACTTCACCCTGTTTTTCTAGAATTGGTAGGTAAGCTATGACCAAGGGATCAGCAACATACTTCATGCGAGCCTGTATAAGAAGTACATCACAGGGAGGATGGGGTCAGCTGGCCATATTCCAGTAAACCCAAAGCATAACATTTCTAGATCGCTTTCCTTGGGCACTTTTATAACACTTTTATAAAAATGTTAACATCTGTGAGTGACTTCTAATATATTCCTCTGTTAAGGAGTTTTAATGATATATATTAGCCAGATTTTCATAGTCCAATGTGTACACGATTTGTCAGTGCGAGGATCTGTGTCTTCCCGCCATTGAGGGGTAAGTGACAGTTGTACGAGTGAGGTGATCACTCGGTTAAACAAAATCACAGTATACCTCATCTCTGACAACACTTTCTTTCCACAGGGCATGAAAGTCACCCCACCTTCTAAAGGTCAGAAATTACCATGGGATTATGACCTTTGTATTTATGATGGCTTCATAGACAAGACAGCCCCAGACTTCATAGCATTCAAAGAGCATTTTAACTTAGCTTGGGGGAGTATTTTTTCTCTCTTGGAACATATCGAGAAGTTTCTCAGGGACTATGCAATACCAGAAGTCAAAATCAAAGGGAAGAACTTGCTGGCCCTCCTTCCAGAGTTTGAGCTGAATAATAAACTTACCCGATACAACCTGCTCTCACTGCTGGAGAACCCAGTTCACGTCCAAATGCTGTTAAATCGCCCAGGACAGAGGTTCAAGGGCCAAGGTGGGAAGGCAGAAGCTGCCGTCAAGATCCAAGCTACATGGAAATGCTACAAAGCAAGAAAATACTTCCTTGTTTACCGTCAGCAGAAGTGGGCGTCGGGTGTGATCGCCCTTGCTTGGCTTTTACGTTGCCATAAGACCCGAGTRAAGAAGATCCTGAAGGAATCGCGGCAGAGACACCTGGAGAATTTCCGAATGCGAGCCAAGGTGCACGAGGCTGCCAGCTGCTCAGGCAGACCTCTTTTTCTAAACAGTTCTTGCTTGAACGACTGCAATAAGTAGTCTCTTTCTCTTTCCTTTCCTTCTCCAACTCCCCTCCCCCTCAGCCTCCCTGGTCTTTTACTTTCCTCTACGCAGGATGCACAAGCCCCATATTTGTTCCTGCGACATATTTTAGCCCTAATCGACAATCTGGCTTTTGTGCTTGCAAAAATCGGCTGCAATTTTTCTATAGACGTAAAGTCCCTTCATTTGGGCTACGGTAGTTCTGTCAGAAAATCGATGTTTTAACTGCATTACCTTTTCCCCCCTATATATACCTTCTGGCACTTTAATTTGCTAGGGAAAAAAAAATCCTCTCTTGTCTACATTGCTGTCACCACTTTGTCAGAAAGTATTTAAGTTTGCAGACAGCCTTTTAATTAGTGCTCACAATTTCATTTATGTTTGCTTTCTCTTTTTTTCATTCATATTCTGTTAATTAAGTGAGCTGCCTCTAATCTTCCCCTGCCAGTAGCATCATGTAGCCACCTAATTAAATTAATTGGGGAAGATGTTTTAAGTATGTAATTAAATCAATTAATATAATTTATGCCTGGCTTAACTGTACAGTGGAAAAACAGCTGAAGTTTGACTAGATGAATCCACTACAGCTTCCTGTCACTGATCAATGCTCTTCTTGATTTTTAGCATCTGGCAGCCAACTGGAATCGCATCAGGACCTCCAGGAGGACGATTATCCATATCCCATCATTAGGTATAACACTTTTGCCTGCAAATCTATCAGCAACCTCTATTACCCACCACATTATGGCTCCTTGATTGAGTTCAAGGAAGGCCCCTTGTTTTATTCAAATTGGTCTCGGCAGGAAAATGTTCTCGACATGATGAGAGTAATAACACAGGGCCCTCGCTCGAAACGGCGTTTAATTTGGGGATTAAGCAAATAAAGTCATTATGTGGGGGCTGCTATTCAGTGGAGAGGTGATTTGCTGTAATTCGCTTTCATCTGTATGAAATGAACTAAAAAGTTGTATTTTTCCCCCTGAAATACGGATAATGTTTTCGATCTTCTTTAATGATAGAAGCACACAGGCTTGTGTGTGTTGTGGCAGTTACGCCAATAAGCCAGGATATTGCTTGTACACTGTTTTTAATCAAATGTGCAGTCAAAATGATAAGCTACATTCTCTGAAATTATTTAGTTCTAATTACGAGCAGATGGGATGCTTTATTTGCACCTAGGGCGCCTGAGCAAAAGGAAATGCTGTGTGAACAAGAATAATTAAGAAGTTGAATAGTGTTTTTTGCGCTTAAATAATCTGCAGTTTCATGTTAATTAGCACTAATGTAATTATTTAATTACATTTATGAATTGGGGAACTTGAAAGCTGTTGTCTGAAACGCAGTGGTAAAATAGGTGTGCCAAAATGACACAGGGAATTTCAGAAATTTGCATTGGAAGTTCTTTTAAAACACGAGCTGCTGTCAAAATGTTTGGGATTTGTGTCTCGTTGTTTGTTTTGTTTTGCTTGGCTTCTACCTAGCCTGTTAAATTTCCTGGATGAGGCCAAATTTCCTATGCTGACTTAATAAGAGTTTTGACAAACAGCAAAAACCACTGAATCTCCAGATTAGCTCTTTGTTAAGGCCTTTCCTGTAAAGCAATGCAGTAATTGATCTTCTGGGTTGTTACTTATTTATGTTCATCTGTGAATATTTTAGTTTGTGTATTGAAGTGTAGCATAGAAACAAAACAAATTTAAGCAGTAATAGAAAAAGAAAAACATTTAAATTACTACATAAACATATTAAGATTATTTTAAATTAGTAAAATATTAATAGGACCAAAGTAATACAAACTTTCCAAGATTCTAGAGCATATGCATAGAGCTATGTGTACTAGTGCAAAAGTTAAGAAAACTTGAGTTGCATAGGGCCTTTTAGTTTTGCTCCACTTTATGGCTCACAGAAGAAATTTGTTCCTTCTTAGGATGTAAGTGAGCTAAGACAGATCTGAATTTCATTCCAACTTAGGCTTTTGTCTTGGTGAGACTACTTTTGCACACAAAATTAGTTCACACACAGAAATTGCACTTGTAATTGATTGCAACCAGAGAGGCTAATTGCAGACCCAATTAACTGACTCAGGTCCTTAGAATAAGGTGCAAGAGCCTTTGCTTTTGAAACTAATTGTGGACCTGACCTAATATTATATGGGGAATTTTGTTTTTCTTTCTCTACTTGATCCAAAACTAGAGCCAGAAACAGGGTCCCTACTTTGCAATGGTAATAAGCACACTCGTGTGGTATAGRTACAATTTCCACAAACTTCTTTCCTCCCACACTCCCTTTGACTCTTCAAAACAACCCCATGTGAATGGCCCTGMAGAGAAGCCTGATACAAAGGAGTCTCCAAAGAAGCAGAAATTTGAAAGTAATGGTAATGTAAGCTGAGTAATAAAAAATGAGTTAAAAGGAAAGCATCTTAAATTTTCAAAAGGACTTGCTGGATATAAATTAAATGGAAAATAATATGGTCAAAGGAATGAAAATTAGAAAGCATTATTTTAAATTGTATATTAAAGCTAGCTTTCTTCTAGATTGTGTACATACATATATATATATATATATATATATAGTTTAAATAAATAATAAATATGAAGGCTTCCCTAATGCAGTAATTTTTGTTTGTAAATGACAGAGTAACCACTTTAAAGGAAAATGTATTTATGTATTTTTAAAATATAAGAATGGTCTCAGATATTTTTCTCAATCAAGCATTTTAGAAGTCCAACTCTACCTTTTCACAAGAGAATTTGTTTCTACAATCTGTGCTTTAGGTTTTATAAAATGACTTGTGGATATCCAATTTAGTATAAATATTGCACAGACAGAATTCTTAAACTGTAAAAAAGTGATATGAGGTTCTTTTTTCTTATTTCCCACTTCGCCAGGGAACACACAGGGAGGTTTTTGGCTATACACAGCATGGCTTCTTTGTCTCATGCACGAAGGACTTACTTCCACAATTCATAAAAATAGAAGTGGATGAAAATGAAGTCAATTTTTGTTCTAAATACACTGCAAAAAGAAACTAACCTATTCAATCTAATAATTTTACTTCCAGAGTTAAGACGAATTCACTCGTCAAAATCAGTGGGCAGGGTTGTCGGGTTCAGGTAGGCACTTAAAGCAAGTGTAGCCTTGTCGTCTTTTTCTCTTTTCATAGGAAAACTTGCTGTAGAATCACCCTGGAAATAATGACACTCGGACACCAGTCAATTGGGGCTGCACTAACTTATTTGAATCCTTAAAAATGAAAGCTAAGTACTGATAACCACGTAATATATTACAGTTGTAGGCGTTTGGCTATTTGCTATATAGTTTTGCACACACAGGAATAATTGCTTTCTTCAAACCATGATGGCGGAAAAGATGGCCTTTTAGTAACGTATTTTACTATGAAACATTTATACTGTATTTTTAAATGTATAGTTTGATAACACAAACATTAAAAGAACATATTGCAGAGTTACCTCTTTGTTATAAAATTTGATTAACTGTTATATATTGCATGTAGGGGTTCCTAGATGTAACAAATATTTTAGCTATTTTTAATCTACAGAAGTGGAATGTTATTGACTAATTGTTTAAAAGAACTGATTGGCCTTATAATTTTATAAGTTGATAAAAAATTCTTTCCAGAATGTATAGGTTGATCTCTTAATGGGATATTACATATTTTTATCATTTTTATTAATGAAATATAATTATAACAAAATCATATTCCATAGTTCATAGCAGAAATAGAATTCTAGGGTCTATTTTAAGCAAAATCTATCAATCAAATAAGAAGGAATCGCAATAAAGAATCCTAATTCCTCTAGAAAGACCAGAGGTCTAAATAAAAACTGCAATCTAAACTTGCTTCCGTTTCCTTTGGCCAAGTTATTTCCTTCACATTTTAACCCTGGGCTTTTTATTATAGCACATCATAAGTATATGTACTGCTATACTTTAACTCAGGGACGTTTTAACATATAGTCATTTAATATGATGTGTCAAAAATTGGCCTCCAATGCTGAGAGCAGATATCTGAGGCCACTGTCAGCAAACTCAATCCCAGTGGTGAGTCTCCCTTCTCATCTCTCTTCCTCTCCCCCCACCCGGCCCCCTTTTTGTACTGGGGATTGAACACATGGGCATTTTACTACCCTGCTACATCCCCAGCCCTTTTTTATTTTGAGACAGGGTCTTGCTAAATTGCTGAGGTTGTCCTCAAACTTGCACTCCTCCTGCCTCAGCCTCCCTAGTCACAGGGATTGTAGGCAGGCACCACCACGTCTGTTCTCTTCCTCCTTTAAAAATACAGATAGGTGATATATTGAGGTGGGATTTTTTTTCTCTCTTCTTTACATAATCTTTTATTTCATTGGCCAATCAATGTAATGGCTAAAAGTAATATACATAATTCATCCTCAGTTTTTTCTCCATGTGCATTATTTTAGTAAATTCTCCTTAGGATTAACATGAACATTGGTCTCCAGAATATTCCATGCCATAAAAATTGTGGATGGTGTTATTGTGAAATTCATGAAAAATATTTTTCAGTTGTTCTGTACTGTCACAAAAGCCTGTAAGAAAAGACAGAAATGTGCTTTTGTGGGCAGCTGACCATACATTGAATGGAGAAAGCCCTGAGGCTCATGAGACAGTAGCGTCCTAACTGCATTCCCTTCCCCAGGAGGAGAGTTGAGACTCACCTCTCTGTGAACAGAGGCGGAAGACTGCGACTGTGAGCATGGACCTAAAGTTGTTTCTAGTGTGCCTCTAAGCATATTGCCATCTCTCTACTTTCTCACTTTTGAGTTGACAACTCAAAGATTAAATAGGTTCTGTTCTTCCATCCTGGGCAGTTGGGATCTCTCATCCAGTCTTCACAGTCGTCCAAAGGTATTTTGGCAGCTAACATGGAATTCATAATTGAGTTAGGAGTTGCCACATGAGATCCTTGGGACAACTGAGCTGCCAGCATCCCCCAGGCAGCCTTTCCCAGAAATACCCAGGTCCTTGGGGATCAGCAGCAAAGTACATTTAAACTTTCAAATTTCTTTATAGCCCAAACTAAAATTAAAATAAATTTGTATTCTTCCATGTCAACAAATCAACACTTACTCACTGGTTAGATAACAGTTAGCCCAATCATTCTTTTATATGAAAATGTCCAACTGATCTTGACCCAGCTAATGTTGTACCATAATACAGAGAAATAGCATTAAATTGGGTGTGAAGTGACACCTGTTCAAGGTCTTTTCATGAAATGGATTAATATTGGGATATGAACAGAAATGAATTTTGCATATGCGAAATAAAAATGTAATCACTTAATCTCCTTCCTCCTCATAAAAATAGCAAAAGCTTTATTCAGCTATTCTCAAATTTTCTTGTCTCAGAACCCCATTAAACTCATAATGGTAACTGAAGACCTGAAAGAGCATTGGCTTAAGTGAATTCTATCTATTTTTATTTACTGTATTAGAAACGAACGAAAGGAACTTTAAAAGTACTTATTAGCTAATGAACCCATTGCCAATGTTAATCTAAATAACACATTTTTACAAAATAGAATTATTTTCCTAAACAAATTTAGTGAGAAGAATGGCATTATTTGACAGGTTTGCAAATCTCTATACAACATGGTTGTAGTCTCATAACTGCTTCTATATTCAATCTGTTTTGTATATTCTTCAGAAG